ATTTGTAATTTTAATTGTATTTTGAGTAAATCAGGTGCAATATTGTGACAAATGCTGAGAATTCCATTCTATATTAGAAGAACTGATTTTGGAATAAAGTAGTTTATTATTATTATTTTACTAGTTGATAGTGAATATTAAATTTTGCGAATGCTGCGAGCTACTGAGTTTGGGAGATTGGGATCATTTGTTATATTGAGTAATGCATTTAGAAGAGATGTTCACCTTTGAGTTATATTGTCGTCAATTTGCAGTACATTTTTATTGTTGTAATAAATTTCTTAGCAGCAATTATTATCAGTACCTATATTTTGGAAGGATGGTGTATAACGAAGCATACTAATGCAGTAGTCAAAGGTTAGAACTGTCTCTTGAAATTGAAACAAGTGCTTACTTAAGACAGAACCGGTACTTCGAAAATCGAAACATCAAATTAGTGATAAAGTTATTAACATCGTTTATATGTGGGCGGTTAGAGTTATATATTTAGAAGTACTAGTAACTTGTTGATAGTTTAAGGAGTGTTTTGCTTGGCAGGAACAACGGTGTGACAGTGTAACTGAATGCATGGGTAGGCAACACCAACTGGCCAGTATACACATAATTTGATGTAAAGCACAATCGCACAACGTATTTCGAAGACGAGAGTAGAGCGGTCTCCTGAAACTGCTAATTTAGTGAGTAACAAAACCTATCTTTGAATTTGGACTGGGAGGAATCCGCTTGTTGATAGGCTGAGTGGTTATCATTAATGTCATTCAATTACGTTAGTATAAGTGTATCCAAGTACTAGTTCACTCATAATTGTGTCTTTTCAATAACCGAGTCGCATAGCGTTTACCTTTAGCTTTAAATTACTAAGTAAAAGTGGATATCCCTAGGGGTTTCTTGGTAAGAAGATGAAATTGTCACCAAAGTAAGTAAATATGTCCATATCTAGAATATACTTAGATTTGGAGCTGCTTTTCCGCTACAACAACATCAACTGACTCACCAATTACGGTTACAAAGCAAAACTAGATCTGCCAAAGACAGTGTGCTCCTGACTTCTAGACATCGTAGTGTACCGTGAAGGAAGAGCAATAAGATCAGACGCATGACATTGATTACAGACTAGACAACCACGGGACGCAGCCACAGAACACGCCACGTTACAATCTATTCCTTTAATCGTGTCAGTCAATGTGACACCAGCTAAGGTTAGAGAAGGAAAACCACTGATTTCAACAGAATCCATTTGTGCTCCTTAATATTATGTATATTCCCTAATTATGGGCAAAATAGGAAACGCACTAAGTCATTACATATATACGAGCAGTAATTGGGCGAACAACGGAGGGTTGATTTAAAGGAATGCGTTCTCGATGTGGCCCAGAGTTCACGTGAAATAAAACTTGCCTACATCTGCAGGTGCGTGTGTAAGTTATTGCATTTCGCCAACCATTCGTTCAAATGATTCAATGGGACACTTTCACATTCAACAAGTGCTCAGTTCATGAATTCGATTTCTACCACAAAGGGCGCCCTGCCGGGATGTGGTGCTGTGTTACACCAGGGTCCCTCAGTTTACAGCTAGATCACACCTTTAATAATTTGAGTGTTACTGCTTTTAGTTGAAAGAGTAATTCAACTATTTCAAAGATGATTTTGGCTGGACTCCTCAATACCAAGTATTGTTCCCTATGAAAGTGAAGTGGGGAAACTATGCAGGGAGATACTGCAGCTTCGCCGACAACTGAATAGAATCATTTCACTTATACAAGATGTATACAGTAATGAATGCACTATTAACTCACTGCGGTCATCCCTACAACACTGCATAAAACTTTATTGTTTGGAAATGAAACATGTACATATATATTGTGTCAGTAACTGCAGATACACCTTGACATCTAGATTTCATCTGCCTTCGGTCTCACTACAACATATAATATCAGTCTGATAGTTGTTTATGAATGCAGTGAAAAGTATTTCATCAACCACGAGTAGCACTTCGAACTAAGCAGAAGTATCGGCACTAAGTGAAACTATTTTTGAGAACTTATACAATGAGGTCAACTTTTTCTAATATACACACAACTATCAACGCAATGAAAAGATAATAACGAACTGTTGTCACAAGCACTGTATTTACTATGCAGAGAATTATGTTACAGGAAAACTTCACAACAACATGTACAAGTTTTGCACGTCATTGCATCAGTAATATAAGCATACTAGTTCTCCTACTTCCCGAAGTGAATAATCTCAAGGCCTCGCGACAAAAAATTGTACGAAGTAGATGTATTGAAAGACTGCTTGCAGACACCATGTGCGACAACATCTAGTAGAATGTCTACGAAAACTGGCAACCTGCAATGAGGGAGACAAAAATCAAGTAATTAGGAGGCATGAAACGCAAAAGATAAGTATTTTAGTTAAGCGTACTGCAGGGAAAAAATATCACTCATCTGATTCACTTCTATTCACATTACTTCTTATTTCCGTGTTACTGACTTTTGGTTCAAGGTTTCTACCGCAGTGCACTTTGGCTGAACAAATTAAGGAATGGGGAAAATGCTTACAGTACTTAGGAAACGGCATTAATAGTTGTTAAGTCAATTAACAATATAGTGAGTTTTGCCACTGGGCAGCTGTAGCGACATTTCGTCATACCTAGTCTGTATGTCATTCTGACTGACAGACTCTCAACATAGAAGCTTGCACACAGGTGCACCTGTTCAAGCTACCACATCCCATGTAGCAAACAAAGGTAGAGATAACGGAAATTAAGTGTAGCTCTAAAGAGTATAAATGTGAAGGAGAATGGATAGTGATAAGAATAAAATACAATGGTTGATTGGATACGTGAGATTACACAGAGCGAATGCATCTGTGTCATCGAAAACTATTTGGAGTCACATCTCTACTTAACGCTATACGCTTAACCCCAGTATTGCTCACCACAATATACTACTTAACACAGAGGATAGGGCACAGACAACTGCGATCAAACACCAGTAGTCTCTTCATGTCTCCCAGCCTCATTGGTCGCTTCTCACAACCTAGGTGGACAATGCCATCAGAATGCTGTAATTTGACGAGACTCTCCTCTGATAAGTCCCTAAAGTCAATGACACACAATTCTATCAATATGTGTATGATGAAATTAAACTAAATAGGGACGACAGTTGCAGAAATGAACCTTGTATTACATCCTTCTTAAAAAGATAAAAATTCCCATAGTCTAGTTTCAGTACTAAGTGAACAGAATGCACTCTGTAGAATTCATGAAATTTACAAAATGACGTACTGCCTTTTGAAAAACTCAGTTAATGTTTCCTCAGTAAAGTGAGAAGTGGGCATTGTGGTCGTGTACACTCAATAGATTGTGAAATGCTGACAATGAAAGTGACAACAATTCTATATAATTACGAGTTATAATTTTAGCTGTATTGCAACATTCAGCATCTGTTAAATGACTACTTGACGAACATCAAATCTATACAGGAAGTGCATAAGATTTAGTAAAACTTATACACTTTTGATTTGACTGTGAAGTCTCCTTGCCAAATGAATTACTGTAAAAGACTACACAGCTAACAAATTAACTTATAACACTGAAATGGTAGAACCTCTATTTGTCCTTATTGAACTTGATACAGAGTCCTGTGTTGTTATCTTTCTTATGCAGATGAGAGGTACAAAAAAATTCGTAATCTGTTGCTTCACGTAGAACTGCAATGCAACTCGATATGCAACAGCATTTGTACGAATAAACTGAAAAATGAAATCTTCCTTATATTCTGAACAAATTGTCCTTATTCCAACTAAGATTTCCACGTACCAGCCTCATTTAAGTCAATGAAATCGGAATACTGTTGCAAATAAATCTTCCCTCTAAAATAAAGGCCACATGAAACACAATTTCACAACAATGCTATATGTTGTGCCCATAGAGGTAATGCTTGTTATCTGAAAGTGTAAAGCAGATGACTGATGAGTAAATGAAAACTGAAATTAGCGCTGAAATTATGATATGAATGTGAGCAACTACCAAACCAATTATGATAAAAGCGTTTCATCGAATATGCCGAATATACCAAAATGATTTCATGAAAACTCAATTATACCTCTAATTTTTGAACTTCCTACCTTATTTTATCCATCACATTGCGCAGATATCAGTATTAAGGGATATTTCCCAATACAGGTGCAGCGAATGTAACGCAGATCAAGTACATTGTGTCGCCGATACTATGTATATCAGAAAGATTTCAATGCAAAATTTCATTTAAATAGCGTATAAAAACATAATTTGTCACTAAGCCAACGTGACATCGACTCCACAGCTAGCGGGGAAATGCAATAATGCCACACTATTTGAATAGCCCAGGAACATGCCCTTTTGCTTTAGATCCTAATTCGAAGATTACATTAGGCTACTCACTAAACATGTAGCTTCAGTATGTGTCCTTGTCTTCTACATACTTTGATCGACTTTATTTTACCTCAGAATATGAGTATACAGGCCAGCCGATGTTGCTTATCCATGCATTCACTTTTTACATTGCTCACCTTAGTTCTAGGACGTCCACCATAATTCTTGGTTTGACACAAGATTAATTCCTAATTTCTGTACCTGCAACAGTTCATCTCAATGGCATGGTTCTTTTTCGCATGAAAAATCTGTTTTCAGATAACCCCAGTGCAGCCTGCACAATTTGCTGTGGAAACTCAAGTTTCGAAGTCGTATGATTACAACTGATATGGTTATAAACAATGAATTTTGTTCGAAACGTCATCCAGTAAGTACTACTGTTTCACTGTGTGATACATCTAATAAACAAACTAATATGGAATTGCTGCGTTAGGCTGTTTTATGCACACAGTTGTTAGTTAGGGCATGTTGATTGGAGTTTCGCCTGGTCAACAATTTTTGGAAACAATTTTCAACAAAATGTGTTATATGCCTTCTGGATTGATGGAAACTCTTATTTCCACGTCATGTGATCTGATTGCGGCAAACTTCTAGCATATGGGTTGAAAGGTTTATATTTCTGGCGAACTGTTGAAATACTGCTATAAGGAGCAGGATGGGATAGTTGGAGGGTAATGTCAATAGAATAAGCTTTTGCAATGACGTTTAGCGAAACCTCTAAGCGGCAACCTTGAAACATTGCGCCAAATACAAACTGGCCTCGAGTTCACTTCGGTTTTGTATATGGTCTTACCCGACTATGGGAGGACGTGTTAGTCGCGGACAAGATAACCAGTCACTTATTGATATATTGGTGGAAAGCGGTTTAACACTGAATCCTGAAACTGAGCGTGCACTGCGCTTAGTTGATAGAGGCAGCTATTATGATGTAAAGAGCTCGGGTGCTTATATAGACTTAGCTTATAAATCGGGTCCCCTTCATATTTCAGCACCTAGTATCTACTTTGTGGCGCTCAAAAATCTGGATATACAGCCGGGGAACCACTTTTTGAATATTGGTAGCGGAACAGGTTACCTTAGCACAGTAGTTGGATTGTTGCTAGGTGAGTTGTTTTTATTTTCTGAGGCTGAGTAGACTTGAAAAATAGTTTATTTGAGTTTATGGTTGTTTGTATTTGGTTTTTCATAGGTACGTAGGCTATACTAAGCTTACCAGTATAATGCATTTGTAATTGCCCAGCCAGCAATTTTTTTGGGCGCATTGCAGACTTATTGGGGCAAACTTCGGGGGCATTGCAGACTTTTTGGGACAGTCTTCGGGACGAATACTCAAGAACGGCAGTGCGCCTAAAGTTTTTTGCCCCGAAAAGTCTGCAGTGCCCCCGAAGAAAGTGCTAGCTGGGTGAAGCGTACAATTCTGCTAAATTCTGTGGATATTCGTAAAATGGCAATCAAAACCCGTAATCTTGACCTCTCAGAGTAAAAGCAATCAAATGGATATTACTTTCATTCTTTTCAAGTAATAGAGGTGACTGAAGGTTCAGCGTAAATACTGCACCGAAATTCATGGGTTCAAGGAGCTACTTCTCAGAGGAGTCTTAACCGAGGAGATAAAGTTTTGTTAAAGATGCACGTTTCCGGGATTAAACGTAAGTGACTAACTATAGCTTCCGAAGATAATCTAGACTATTCAGTCGCACATCTCACTGACTGAGTTTTCAAGATAGAACCCTCCACAAAGGTACATCATTTGAAGTTAACACACTCCATATTAGCACACAAAGGTAGAGAAAAAGAATCAAAGGAACTATTATGAACAGAAATAAAGGGTAAATCTACGAATAGTAATGAGAGTTATAAGTTTGAGCGTTCATAGAGAGTGAATGCATCTGTGTTATTGGTCACAGTTTCGAGCCACGTCACCAAAAGTCTCAATTCGTGGGTTCTGAGTGTCTCAATGACCACAACCATGCATATAGAGATATGAAAGCACGTCGAAGAGGAAGATCGAAGTCTACTCAACCTCGATTCTTCTAGGTTGCTGGTGAGCTGATGTATACACATTTATATGGGCTATGTATCCCATGTTTTACACATGTCAGCTAATAAAATCTGTCCTTTAGATTCCACTTCAACCCGTGTTTTGTGTCATCTATAATCATTACCCCATCAAATAAATGTCGTTCCAATATGGACTGTCTTACATGTTCCTAAATGTTAGTACTAATAATCAGTACTTAAGAGTATTCTCGTAGTCGGAAGATTCCATGATATTCATCGAACATGTATATTTAAAGCTATACATACTATCAAACAATCATATATTTTATTAATCGTATTTAGAGTCACCGTCCAAGTTAGGTTTGAGTTTCAAAGCTACTTTGTTTTATTTGTACAAAATGTATATGTAAATGTGTTTTCTTATAGGATATAACGGAGTTAATCATGGAATTGAGGTGAATGATATCATTGTCAGCTTTTCACGTCAGCAATTGGAGACCTTTATGTCTGAGTGTGATGCGCCATTTGAACGTTCATTCTGTCCCCCAGTCTTCCTGCACGGAAATATTCTAGATCTAGTTGCTCCTTTGAATCAGCCGGCAAGTACAAACTCCGATGTTTTTCCACAGTCTTCTGAAGTGCTTATTCCTGAAATAATTCGGAATCATTCGGATAGTCAGCTGTTAAATAACAGTTCGGTTATTTCATCAAATGATCACATTTCCGAAGAAAGACAAGGTCGTTCATCAGAAGATGGAATAGAAGCAATGGTTGACGATGAAATCAGTGGAAATGATAGACTAAATGACGATGACGATGAAAGTGAGAGTGATTTTGATCCGACAATGTGGGAAGATTTTATTATTGGCCAACCTCCTGTCATACACTCAGATAGTTCTTCACCACATGAGCAAAGTAAGTCTTATAATAGCTAAATTCAAATGCAGATGTTATACTATCCGTTCTCAATATGTATGTAAGATTAATAAGTTACTCTTATATGCTCTTGTTTCTTCTGCATGTTCAGTTTTCATAGTGTAATTTTTGGCAAATTTCTTTAGATGGTGATATACCACAATGGCCAGTCTACGATCGGATATATGTAGGTGCTGCTGTTACTAGTCGTGCTCACTTACAATCTATACTTCGCCTTCTCAAAATCGGCGGCATATTAGTAGTACCTTATCGAGATAAAGTAAGTGATTGATTGCCACATGTTTTCGTGACACTTTTAATACTGGTCATACTTCTGTTGATATTTTGTAGATATTGATATAATTTTTAGGAACTCAGGTGTTTCCTGGTTGGAGGGACATTTCTTTATAAATTTCACTCAGTCTAAAACCCTTTTCCATTATTTTCAACATTTATATGTCGTCGTGCAGTTTGGCATCTGTCTTATCTTCGGTTATTACGTTCGTTTCAGTTTATGGCGTATTGAATTATATACTGCCACAGTTCCAAACTTTTGCATTTATTACTGCACTTTATTTACTTCTTGTCTTAACGAAACGGTGTATTTGTATAACTAAGTTTTCTGATGGATAATACATGACTCCAACACTTATCGTTTGAATGAAGTAAAAGACACGGTATTGAAGTTTTTTTTCCTTCACGATCCCCAGTGGAACATAGGGCTTCAAGCTAGTGGCTCGAAGTTTCTGTAGCAGTGTTTATTTTACAGGATGGGGTTGCTAGCCTCATACCCAACCTTTCCTCTTCACCACCATTATTTCTGGCTTAGCGAGGTGAAGGAGTGCGTCGGCCGAGGATCGAACCCCGGACCATGTGCATGGTCGGCAAGCGTCCTAACCGCTATACCACTGACGCACACGGTATTGAAGTAGTCATTCCTTTTTCAGTAGTTTAGTAGGGGATCCACTTATTTCTGTAACTGAGATCTTGAACACTGCTATTGGGAATGAAGTATAAAAGAAATCGAGGCTGGGTAGTATTTCGATGACATTTCTTTTCTGTTGACCTACCTTCTACAGAAACTGTGGAACGCTTCTACTTACTGTTTTGATTGCTAGTATTTTTATAATCATTAACAATCTCAATTATAGTGGTACATGGGAGTCAACATTAGTGTTGGTGTTTAAACCGTTATGGCGTATTTATAATCATACTTTAAAAACTGTAAAGCGTTTTGAGTATTGTCAGCGACTATGTAAATATCCTCATCCGATTGTCTTAGACGACAGTCAGCAGGTAAAGCGAAGTAAATTCAGATCATTATGCTATTTTTCTCCGATTGTTTATCATTTATTCAGCTTTTCAAGAAAAAAATTCGTCCTGGCTAGAAGCGTGTTTATTCTGGCGTTTATGTTTAAGAACCTAAGTGAAATAAATTTAATTCCCGAATAAGTTAAACATGAGACGAACCAGATCAAGAATACATAGTTCTGCCACTTGTCTGTGAGTTCATTATTGGAGTGATAAATTCACAGATGATTTACGAATGTAGAAATATATACAAGAGAAAATACTCAATTGTTTTCATCTCATAACTTAAGATTTGCTGCAGTGTTTTGAGTTCTGTCATAAGCTAATACGATAATCAACATACTTTAAACAGTATTTGCGTTTTCATGAAGGTGAGACTCGACATATTTCTACTACCGGAAAATTAATATATATATACAACAGAATGTGCAACTCAGATGGAAGATTAGATATGGTTGTGTTCTCTGAGCTGTATGGGTTTGATTGCGAAGCTTTCATTGTCTTTCTCGACAACATCTTTAATACGAACTTCGATAAGAAGTGAACTCACTTAACTTCCTCGTATATAATATTATAGGATAATTGTCTCCTGATAACTTTTGTTGTCGTTGGTTGTTAGTTTGCATCAGTATATATATTTATCTGTATAATTATTGCACGTAAAACAGTCAAATGATAATTTTCAGCTTGTCATCAAATATATATTGATTCCATATTTTACTAAATTTAGTTTTTGAAAATCATACGAATTGACGAAAACAGAATAAATGCTTCAGAATTAATGACAGTCAGCTTTGCGACTCTTCTTCCATCCGAAATGGATTCCGAGAGGCGAGTTGAATCGCGTAAGTAGTAAATTATGAGTTTTAATTCGTAGGTGTTTTGCAACATTTACTATGATTTTAAAGTATTACATCCTACAGAATATTGACTATTTCAAACCTAGACTTTGTTTACTGCAAGTTTTGGCAGTGATCCGGCGGTCTCAAAAATGATGAAAATTATCAGGAAAGCACCTTTGAATATGTTTTATAAGAATAGCTATTTGGTAGTTCTGTTACCCTTAAAATATCTTACTTTTCATCTTCACACTGTCGTTTTTTTATTTGGACGATTTCTTTCCACTTGTACTACATTTAATGTGTTTATTTCGCATTACTTACGCCCAGAGTAGAGAAAAAGAACTTCACGCTTTGAAGTTTTGTCAGTGGTGGGATTGTTTTACCGGGTGGGGTTACTAACCTCGCGCTCAACCTGCTAAACGTTGTTTTGAGATGCGTTGACTGGTAGTTGAATCCTGATATCTCGCGTGGTTGGCGAACCAACGCACCAGTCTACTCTAGGTAACGTAAAAATGAATATTACTCCAGACTGTAAATTAATCATTAATCGAATGACGTTGAAGTGAGTGTGAAGACAAAGTTAATGTATTTCATATCGTTACTGCCAACTTTGCATGAGTTCCAGGTATGCGAAGCTTTTTTTGACCATTGATATTACTGGTGTAATTTGTTGCCTATCTTAGCATAAGTGTGTAAAGAGAGTACAATTTTAACATTGTAACATAATGACACGGCTCTATGTAGTTGGTGTCAGTTTAGACAACAGTGGGATTTGAGATTCCCTAAAACAGTGATTTGTTGGTTGTGATTAAGATAACGTAATAAATATACATCAAGTAGCTGGGAATCTAGGAGAGTTAAAAAGAACCATCATGTTACCATGATTTTCCGCGCCTCTTCGTGGCTGCAACTGGTTGGGATCAGCCTTATTGCACTAACCATTTCAGATGAAACTGCATAATTCTACTGGATTTTATCAACAGGATATCAACTATTATTTGCACAGTTTCTGCTGCTAACTGACTACAGTCTAGGTCTGTTGAAAGCGAGTATCGCTGACATGTCCAAGAAGGTTTTTAAGTAACTTGTATGTTGGAAGCTCCAGTTAAAAGTTAGGAATGACTTTCATAGACTAAGGATAACATTTTGTTTGCCTAAATTAGTTGTGGTGATCGTACACTAGCGTGAAGTTGTAGGAAGAGTATGGTCCATTAATTTAGCTGTGAGAAGTTCTGGTTAGTACGAAGATAGATTATATGGGTAGGTGATGAAAAGAAAAAACAGACAAAAAAGAATATCCCATACTTTTGTGTCTTCTTAAAATTTATGTGTCACCCCACTAGTATGGACGATTGGTTCTTCCCGACCCTATGCGTTGTTGTTCCTGAGGTTGTAAAATAATTAATTTTGTTTTACACACAGAGCCCAGCTGACTTTCATGTGACGTCCAAGTCTCCAACAGTTGGTCCTTAAAATCCCGAAGACTCCAACTAGGTGGCCTACACGTACGTACGTGGACCAAACCAACTGTCGAAAACTTCATGGACTGATTCCAGGTTTTGTTTCGATCACCCCTAACTTCTTCCCAACCTAATCTTATGTCAACTAACATTATGAGAGGAAGAGAGTGATGGTTCATCATGCGTAACACGCATCATAGCCATCTCAATCAATGCAGATTCATAACCTGGTCGACTGACTTGGTCTGCTGTTCATCTAAAAAGCATATTAGGGGCTGCTTACCTAACACTGTCAACCTAACCTCAATATTACTCATCATATTATACCACCTGTCTCAGTCATACAGGACAAAGTTCTAGGATTAGGAATGGTTGTAAAGACGGGTGACCAGATAATTATATGGAATTTCAGGATTTCCACACCGAGAAGACACAGTAGACTGTCCAGGAGAAACACAGGAAAATATATCAGACAAGATTTAGTAGTGAAACCCGACCGAAAGCTGCTACCTTGACGTGGTGGTCAGGCTTGAACACCGCAATGACCCAACAAGCTATAATGGCTGAAACTTATGTCGCTTGGGGTCCTACCATGCCAGAAAGGTTGTTTGGATAGTGGTTAGACAAAAAGCAGCTACCCAATCCAATCCTATGACTCAAACAAAATCACAATATATCATACCGGATCGGCCGGGGCCCGGATTAACAACGACCAAGCTTCCTGCTGCCGTGTCACAGGGCAGAAGTGATAAATATGCTACTGAGACACACCAAATGAAAAACAACAACAAAAACAGGCTGTGTGTGACCGGCCTCAAGTAGTTGACCCCTGGGCTCTGCGGTCACGCAACCGAATTCCACGGTGTGGGAAGTACCGGGAAGTACCAATCGCCCTCACAATCCGAAGTGCACGCGAAACCTCTCTAATCCTCACTCACCTTTGTCTTCATCTTCATCTCTATTATCCTGCCTTCCTTCTACTGATGCAACTCCTCTACTTGATGGCTTTTCACTTCCTCTTCACTCTGTGTCCACTAAAAACGACGGAATCCAAAATACTACTACCGATAGTCTCCTAAAGCCACACCACCAATCTCATATAGGAGCATTTAATGTTAGGACACTTTGCCAAATAGGACAACAGGTATCACTAGCCAAAACTCTCTCATCCCGGGCCATTGATGTATGTTGTGTTTCAGAAACACGCATACAAGACCCAAGTGTGGTTATTCACCTAACCCCACCTGGTCAACAGGATGAATCTGCAAAATTCTCCTTGAGGGTGTCAGAAGATGCCACAGCGAGTTCACGAGGATTAGCTGGTGTTGGGATATCTTTGAGTACTAGGGCAGAACAGACATTACTTGACTGGATCCCGGTAGATAGCCGAATGTGTGCTGTCCGTCTGAACGGATCAGTAAAAAGGAGAAAGGACTGCACTACTCGCCGATGCCTTTTCGTAATCTCCGCCTACGCCCCCACTGACTGCAGTTCGGATGAAGGATGAGTTCTACCAAAAGCTGTCTAGTTTGCTGCGAAAGGCTAAACGCTCAGATATAGTCGTTCTAGCTGGTGACTTTAATGCTCAAGTAGGGAAATTGTGTCAATCTGAGAAGGGGGCACCTATGGAGTTCCGTGCCAGTGAACCGACAACGGTGACCGTCTCCTACAGTTCTGTTCAGATAATCATTTGTTTCTTGTAAGCACTAACTTCAAACACAAGGAGAGACACTGTTTGACTTGGCGACCCCCATCATCAAACCAACGCTGGACACAAATAGACCACATAGAAATAAGCTATCGTTGGCGTGGGTCGGTAGGAGATTGTCGCTCCTTCTGGAACACGTGTGTAAATACCGATAACGCACTGGTCTGCGCTCGTGTGTGCTTACCACTGAACGGACGTAGGAAACAGCTGACGGTAAACCCATCACGTCCCCAGCTCGATCAGGAAACTAAGTCCCTATTTGAGGAAGAACTAGCTAAACACATATCTGAGTTCGACAGCTGTGCTCACGCTGAAGAAGCCTGGAGGAATATTCAGTCAGCCATAGATACAGCTGTAAAAGCTGTGAATAAGGTAAATCCAAAGGTGAGTAAAAACCATTGGATTTCGACTGCCTCATCCGAACTGATAGATGCGAGAAGACTTATTCCGGCGAGCTCCGAATTCAATGAGGAGCGAAAGCTGCACAAAAGGAAACTTACGAAAAGTCTCCGCAACGACCGTGAACAGTGGTGGTTGACAAAGGCGAAAGAGATGGAAAGAGCATTGGCGATAGGCAGCACTAGGCAACTCTTTAGACTCATCAGGGAAACGAGTTGGAGAAGGCAAATTATAAGTGAGACTATTTCTGAGAAAAATGGCTCCTTAATTAGCTGTCAGGATAGACGCCTTGAACGCTGGAAAGAACACTTTGAGAAACAATTTAACTTGCCTACAGCCACACTGAGCCTCCCCGCCATCCAGCACACACCCGAATGGGATATAGACACTGGTCCGCCGTCTGTAAGTGAGGCTGGGGCCCTCGGGACTCTAAGAATCAATGGCTGGAGACAATAGGTGACATGGCTGAAAATCGTTGTCAATGGCGCAGATGTATTCAGTCTCTGTAATCTTCCATATTCCTTTCTACCATTACTCATTCTGTTTCACTGTTATACTTGTCAAAACTCTATTGATTCCCTTCACTCATCTTCTTGTGTACCTTTGTGTGCTATTTGGGACGTGGCAACTCGAACTGCTGCACTTCGGTGCCGAGTTTTATGCTGAATCCAGACAGAGACAGACAGACAGTGTTACCCACCATATTATCCCTATTAATATTCGAAATAGACCGCAAACACCTGTGTTCGAAGATGACTATCCTTTTCATATCTTCCATTTTCAATAGCCATGTCTCACATCCATAAAGGAGAACAGAGTGAGCTGCTGCGCGGTACACGCGTCCTTTAATGGATAGGTGGATATTACGTCTTCGCCAGGGATAGCGTAAGTTGGTAAGTGCTGCACGAGCCTTCTGTACCATTCTGAGATTTCGTCAGCAATCAGTCCGTTCGGACTGATGCCACATCCGAAATAGGTGAAGTGGTTAGCATACCGTATGACTTCATCTTAGATTTGATAGGTGCGAATCGAATGCCGAACGTATAAAGATTTCTGCCCGAGGTATATAGAAGACTGTATATTATCAGCGTCTCCGCGTAGAATGACAACATCAGCCGCATACTGTAAATTGAGAGACTTTGTCCTGGTAACAAGTTAAACCATAAGCAGTTAAAGTCGATTAGTCTCACATTCATTCATAAATCTGTAATGAAATTAAAAAATTGGAGACACTGGGCATCTGTATGTCATCACTTCAGATGACAACTCTCCAAGAGCTTTTACATAGATGCGTGAATTCGAGTAGAATACTTTGATTACTGGGATCAACTTTATTGACACTCCATTCAAGACCAGGTATTGACACGATTCCTCTCGGTCGACATAGTCTAATGCCGCCTCTAAGTCAAAAAATAAGCCAGTTGTTGGACGTCGGCAAATATGTCTATGTTCCAGAATCTGTCGAAGAGTAAAGGTGTGATCAACATACCGTCTTCCTGGTCTAAAGCCTGTCTGCTTTTTCTGGGTTTGTTCCTCTCGAGCCCCAATTAGTGTTTGCATGATTGTTGAACCTTGAATTTTAGATAGTATGTTAGTTAAGCTAGTCCGTCTATGCTAACCACAGAAAGACTTGTCACCCTTTTTAAAAGCTGGGATAATCAATGATCTACACTAGTCTAACGGGACTGTCTCCGATTCCTATACATTACCTAATGTATCTGTTAACGAAGGCAATAGTTAATCACCACCATCTCGGATGCCTCTGGAGTTATTTCACCAAGTCCTGCTGATATGTATTGTTTCAAATTAGACACAGTTTTCGCAACTTCAATTACAGATGGGGGACGTATATCTACATCCTATACAAGTGGCTGTTGTATGCTGAGGAAATTTAACGTGGTTGAAGTCTAGTTAAGTTTCTCCTCAAAGTGTTCCAGTCGTCTTTCTTGAGAAGTAATGAAAGTGCTATTCCCCTCAGAAATTGTTTCGTTATTTGAAATAAAGCCTTTCTACGACCGTTCTTCCCGATGAGTCTAGGTAGTTGTCCATTGTTATCCGTCGCCGATGCCATTTCCATCTGTTTGGTTTTTCCCCCACAACTGTTGATGTTCGTTGCGGATTTTAGTTAGCTTGCATATGAGCAGCCATGTTTGGAGTCCTCAGGAATCAGTCTTCTTGCATGTATCAGTTCTGATGAAACTGGAGAAGTTCACAGGCATTTACTAACATTTGGTTTCAGCTTATCAATAGCCTGTACCACTACTTTACAGCTGACTGAATATTATACCAGGCTTCCTCAGGGTGAATATTTCTGTAAGTTACAGATATACATTTAGTTATTTCTTCTCTAAATAAAAACTCTGTATCACGGCTTTATAGCTATTTGTTTCCTTTGTGCATTCGGTCGTAGGAATATACGTGCACAGACTGCAGTGGGATCGGTGTGTACCTAGGTGTTCCAGAAAGTGTAGATGTCCTCTATCCACCTTCCGCCGACAGCTTATCGTTTTGTGTTATGTTTGAGTCAGTTGTTTTTTCGATGATGAAGGTCGCTAGGTTAGGCAACGTCTCTTTGTTTAAAGTTGGTGCCGATTGAAAACAGATTTTTATCTGAATAGAGCTGTAAACGACGATCACCACTGGCGGTTCATCGGTATGGAACTCGTAGGTGGCGCCAATGTACTTTCCACACTGGCATAACTTCCCCACTTGAGCATTAAAGTCGCCTGCTAAGACGATTATATCTAAGCGTTTTGCTTTTTGCAGCAAACTAGACAGCTTTTGATAGAACTCATGCCTTATTACATCCGAATCGCAGTATATCAGAGCGTCTTTTACCCAGTCAGTATTTCTGCCTTTATAGTACCTCCAGTAGCTATTATCTGAGGGTTGTAGCTCGTTACGTTGTCGATATATATATATATATATATATATATATATAATATTGCTTTAACCTAGTTCTGAGTGTACTCAATTAATTTCCTAATCATATATATATATCTTTGCAAGGGATTTTAAATATATGACACTTATCCGATGGAATTATTGAGCCGGAAAGATGAGCTTGATATCCTCATTTTTCTTTAGAAAATATCGCAGTATTTGTTTACTCATTTTTGGTCTATGTTTTTGATATGGTTGGCAAACTATCCTTCAGCATAATTTTCGTTCGATAATTCCAGCTCCTAAGCAAAGCGTGCCACCACTGGAGCAGCTAGCTGCACGCCTTATACGAAGCCTCCTTCGGAAGGCAATAGAATCTCGTCATAATGGCCCACCAGTTCTTGGCCGCATGGAAAAAATAGATGTTGATGAGGGGGAAACTGTTACAATCAATGATACTAATGGAGAATTGGAAACCACGATGGATACAATAGACTCAGAGGAGGCGAATGAAACCGGTGAGGAAAATGGTGTGTTGAGGCGTGGAAGACAATATGTTAGTCCAGCAACTGCACAGAATGCACCAATGGCTCGATTTTTGTGAGTCCCATATTGCATTTCTTTAGGATATGCTATTCCTATGTAATATCCTAAGTATTAACTTATAGGGCAATACTTTATTTTTGTATTATCTATTCATATTTGTGATTTTGAAATTCTTTCATACCTAATTCTCTTCACTTTCATCCAAATAAGTCTAAGGTTGTTGCTATCAAGCATTTCGTAGTACCTGAGCTTGGATTCTCACACAATGTTCGAGTAAAGTGGGAATATGCTGAATGCTTACAGTCTAGTTTAAAAGCTGATGCTATTGTTTGTGAACAAATTACTTCATAATATGAATTCCTTAAATACTCTGCACTAAATAACCGCTCAGTTACATCGGAATTTTACAAACCACTCATTTCAAAAGTCAAATTTTTAGTAAAAGTATATATATGAACGTAAAATGCTTGATAACTTATTTTTGACATAAAAACAATTACTTCTTATTGGACAATTGCAGTATATACCCTTTGATAATATTCGTTAATCAATAGAGATGGAATCTATGACAAATTTCTACAAATTTGTGGTTCTATTATATCGCATGTTCATGGTTCTCAAAGGTGGTATATTTTCACTCAGATTTCATTGCAGCAGTTTTTCGATTTATCTCTTGGAGTACCATCAGTTGTTCGAATTAGTCTTAATGACTATCGCGAGGTACTAACGTGACATACTCTATAATCTGTTAAGACATTCCTTTGCACTTTAAAAAGGCGATATATTGCAGGAAGTGAATGCCTATTAAGAACGACGATCTCAATATACGAGTTTATTGGGTCGTTACTCAATACGCGGTTAACTTAATTTGTATTGGTAAATGAATATTAACTTCGGGAGGACTTTTGTCAAAGCAATATTATTTAGTATACTGTATATTTTCTATAGTTTGATTTGTAAGGATTAGTTATGTTTTACGAGTTGATCACGGACTGATATCAGTTAGAGAACCATTGAAAACCAGGGAGTACTGGACAGCTGCTGTTTCATCCTAGTTTGGGAATCATCGGCAGTACGCACCCACTGGGATTCGAACCCAGGACCCGGTTACAAGGCAAGCTCGTATACCATTCAGCCACTGGGACCCGATTCAATGGCTCATGAATTCTAACTTCTACCAATTCGTGATTTTAGCGCGACCCCAACTATTGTCGTTGGTGGAAATCCATCCACACGTGACTTCTAATTGGACCTAACTGGTCACGACTTCTCACTAGAACTGCAGGAAGCTCCAACCTGTAACAAGTCACTAGCGAGCATCAGAATAATTTTCTATAGTTTGATTTGTAAGGATTAGTGATATCAGTCCGTGATCAACTCGTAAAACATAACTAATCCTTACAAATCAAACTATAGAAAATTATTCTGATGCTCGCTAGTGACTTGCTACAGGTTGGAGCTTCCTGCAGTTCTAGTGAGAAGTCGTGACCAGTTAGGTCCAATTAGAAGTCACGTGTGGATGGATTTCCACCAACGACAATAGTTGGGGTCGCGCTAAAATCACGAATTGGTAGAAGTTAGAATTCATGAGCCATTGAATCGGGTCCCAGTGGCTGAATGGTATACGAGCTTGCCTTGTAACCGGGTCCTGGGTTCGAATCCCAGTGGGTGCGTACTGCCGATGATTCCCAAACTAGGATGAAACAGCAGCTGTCCAGTACTCCCTGGTTTTCAATGGTTCTCTAACTGATATCAGTCCGTGATCAACTCGTAAAAAATATACTGTATATGTTGTTTATGCATTGGATATTATCGATATAAGTGTATTTTGATTTTAGCAAGTGTTTCTGTCTACTACTTCTTTATTAAGTCTTTAGGGTTTTATCGACGTAAAAAGTAAAAGTTTTTATATCCTCGGTGTTGTTTTGGTTGAAGATCAGCTCCTTTACCAGTTAAATCATAGTAGTGAATTTGATGTGGTATGCTAACTGACTAGGCATGTATGGCGTAATCCCTAGATTCTTGTTTAGTAGGACATATAGTCCAGTCCCTTATTGTGTCAGGAAACGCAGACTTTGAAAGGAATGTAGTCTTGGTCAAAATTGCTAGTCTACCAGTAATTCTGAAGATAATATCCTTATAGGATAATCACTTTTTTCATAGTTTAATTGTATTATTTTTCCTGTACATTTTGTAAATTTAGTTTCTTAAAAATGCTCTCAAATATCATTATTAATGCAATTTTTTTCTCATTATTTGCATGGCATTCAACCTTTCCAATGCATATTTGATTTGCATGTGCACGTATCAGACGATTAGCTTACCTGTATGAGTCATTGCATTTTCTCTACTTTTTAATTGTAAATAGTGACTCCTTTTGTATTGTTGAATTGTGGTGTAGTATATGTTCACAATATCTTATTTGCCTGTGATCGTATAAAATTAGGAATTTGGCTGTCCTATATGCACAAAAGATGTCAACCTAAGCCATATAAAATCAAATGATCCTGCAGTTTTCATATTTCACGGTAGTATATTCTACCGAAAGCTGGGGGTAAGGCTAGCAACCCCCACCCCTAATAGAGACACCATCACTATCGGAACTTGAAAACCCAAGGTTGAAACCCTTTGTTCCACTTAGAAGGCAAAGAAATGAAAAAAAGTATCACGTTATCGCCTTTCTCGTCAGGTAGTGCCAACCAGCATAGCATAGGGTAGGAGAAGAGTTAGGGGTAGAAAAATCAAGACATGTCATCAGCTCATGAAGTCTAACTGGTGGTTTAAGCCACACTTGTAGGTCTAGACTGCCTGATTGTGGTCATGGAGACTCTCAGAACCAATGGTTTGAGACTATTGGTGACGTGGCTGAAAACCGTTATCAATAACACAGATAGATGCATTCACTCTCAGACTTATAACTCCCATTACTTTCTGTAGATTTACTCTTTATTTCTGTTCAATATAGTTCCTTTGATTCTTTTTCTCTACCCTTGTGTGCTAATATGGAGTGTGTTAACTTCAAATGGTGTACCTTTGTGGAAGGTTCTACCTTAAAAACTCAGTCAGTGAGATGTGAGACTGAAAACAGTTTAGGTTATCTCTTGGAGGCTGTAAATATTCACTTATTTGTTTGCTGTGTTTGTCAGACACGTGTAGTTCATTCAAGCATCACCATGACAGCAATATTTTGTGGAATCTTTGGTCTCACATTTTTCTGATGTCCAATTGTGGGTCTAAAAGTTAGCGACGATGAAGCACTAAGGTTTTAGGATTTGCCATGACTGTTTCGTTCAGTTGTTAGGCCTCTGTTAGTGTTATATATGCAGTAGATGGGTTTTTCAACTCTTTGGTTGTGCGAAGTTATGACAGTTTTTCTTACTGGTATTCGCACTTTTTTATCGAATACTCTTCACTCGATTAAAGTGAGACAGTGTGCCGTCCGGTTAGTCGTGTATTTCTGAAGGCACTTATCAGTCTAATAAACCCTCTTTTACTGAGCGTAGTATCTTATTATAAGTATAGAGATGTTTAGGAGCCTTTATGAGTTTTCTTATTGATTGATAGACTGTGATTGTGATTACTGCGATGTTTGTGTCAAATTAAAGACCCACATGTCGTGGAAACAATCCATTGTCGGATTAGCTGGGTGTTATAACTGCACTGAACTGAATAAACCCGTTGCCACTTTGTTATGTCTGTGCCTGCTAATTTTTATAACAGTAACGAACTCGACTGGTACGCTAATACCCCTGTTTGTCCGTTGTACCTTCCGATTCACTAAGCCACGCAAATATCAAAAGACAAAGATCGGCTGCGACTGTAAGATATTGTGTTGTAAATTTTAAGACAACACATGATATTTATACATTTTCTTTACCATAATAAAGTCGGCACACAGTCGTGAGAATGGATTGCTCTTATCAGCTAGCAATGGCCATTCTCAGAGGTTGGCGATCCGACAAAGTTCAAGGTGAGACAAAAGACAATGAATTGATCACACACTAAATCACAATATGCGTGAGAAATGATCGATCAACATAGTAACTCCATCACAAGATAAATCACACGATTCGTGAGAAAGAATGATATACTATTTTATGCTGGTTCCTATCACTGGGTCACGTCAGTGTTTGTTAGTTAAGATAAGGTTGTAGGATTAGTACTTTATAGTGTACAGTCGCTTTGATAGTTTCGGACGCATTTGAAGTTTGTCCATCTTTACCGTAACATCACGTTTTTATCTTTCGGCATTCTGCGTCTTTCAATCATAGTACTTTCATTCTACTAAGTATCAGATTACGATAACTAGTTGATGGTCTCTTCCCTCAGTTCGGAATATTAATAGCACGCATATTAAGAATGTGTCTTGGATTAAGCACTTTACCTGTAGATTTTTACTAGCGTACATATATCAATTCCTCTTTTTGTTACTAGAGCGTACCTTGCATGTTGCTTGCTATTGCCTTATGAAATTTCTTGTCTTGTAAATATTTTTGTTCCCCATCAACTTACTTTTTCCCCGATGTCTTTGTAGACATTATTTAATAAATCATGCAGAGATAGGTGAAGATAGGCCAATTTCAAATCAAAGTTCAGCAAATGAAAATAGCTTGGACACAACTGGTTCGGATGAAGTACTGGATGTTTCGACTGAGGAACATGATTCATCGTAAGTTCACACTAATATGTGTTTCATGAAGTGCCAGTGTAATTCACTATGTCTAGGCGACTAGATTTGTTTGTCCCAGCTTACGTTGGGTAGTGCAGTATACTATGTCTCTGTATGACTATTTTATAATTGGATGTGAATACGAGGAGCATGTCCCCGCACGTGAGCCGTTGGTTGTCTGGAAGAAGTCTATGCACCTGAGTAGTATGAGCTAGCGGAGGGGCATCTCTAGTATATCAAAGGTCGGGTTCACACAACTTTGCTGCGTGTAACCTTGCGTTAAGCCAGTGAAATCTGGCTAGCAATGTGCGGTGATTTTTCCGTTCGATCATTGCTGCTTTTTCGTGCGAAATCTGGTCATGAAAACTCTAGGATGACCAACTGACAGCTTGGTATCTTGGGATGAAGGATATTTGTGTTGTTTGCATCTCTTCGTATATCACAACTATCTGGATGACTTATGAGAAATCATACTACCCGGAGACTGATGATGTTGCTAGATACTGTCAGGAATCGAAACGCGGCTGTTCAATACTTCCTGGTTGTATAACTATCGTCAATTCGTGATCACTTGAAGTATTTTTGTGTAGAGCTTTAATATGTACCAATTTGCACTGATGCAGTTTTCTGTTACTGACATCCAGCTAGGGATTTATTGTTCAAACCTCTGAGAAAAATTATAATTATGCTTGCTTCATACTATTTGACAGTTTTTTTCGAGCATCACTAATTTGGGTTATTTAAGAATGATTCCTATTCCGTACTGGTATGTCATCATGTGAAAAATAATTTTCAGAAGAAAACAAGGCATCTCTTCCTTGTTGACAAAGTTACTGTCGATTCTCGCGACACTCTCTCACAGCAGGCGTACCACACACTTGGTCACTGTCCTTACCTGTCTATGAGCTGTTTTGTCGAAGCAGTCCTAAAGATACAGGTTAATTTTTTTTTTCAATGTGTAACTTGCTTTCCGTTATTTAACCGACTTATCCATTGCACCCGTTTTATACAAAGGATCGCAGATAATGAAGAATCTGTTCACGACGCGACAGAATCTCAACAAGGCCTCTCACCCGACCGAAGGGTTTATTTTCGTAGCCTTATGAATCATATTGATCGTGCAATTAGTGCTACAGTCACTGGACGTGAGAACAACCGAACTGGCAACACAAGCGATACCGATGTGTCAGTGGATAGAGAGCCAACCTCTGTATACAGATGGAACAAAAAAGGTGATAAATACCGTTGGGTTCCCCCAAGTTATACTTACAAAGAGGAAATGCAGCGCATTCTGTCAGAAGAATTACACCTTGGAAACGCTTTAATCCGATCTGTAATAACACTGTGAAGAAATGTAGATTACCTTATGTTTGTTTCGTTTTATGATTTAATAAGATATCAAAGAATTATGATTATCATTCACAATTTCATGACAAACTTTATATTTGTACTACATAACTTTTCCACGCAAACTCGTGTTCGGAGCTAGAACCCTGCATTTCTAGATTTTAGGGACCTTGCTGTAATTCTCCTACTGATTATCCTTTCCATGCATTAAAATAAAAGAAATAAACAATCTGTGTATTTTTTATCTTTTGGCAGAGCAGTAAGGGGGAAATGCAATTACAACCGGTTTACTTAGTTTCGTGTTTTTTGCTTAGCGCCCCAGGCACATCACTGATACGACCTCTGTGGGGATTCCAAGGCCTCAACCACATGCTCCTGAAATGACAAACAAAAAAATATTCAAATCACTAAATAAAATCGTCAAGTGTTAAGTAGAAATACCTTTTAAGTGGTAGCACTGTTTAATTCTTTAATTAAAAATGAGCAAATTAAAATATTTGGAAGTTACATGTCACTAGATGGTTAGTGTAGGAAGTCCCCAATCGATAAATATTGGTAACTTGGCAGTTGAAATCCTTGTGGCGATACTGTTTAAATAGTGTGACAGCAAAAATTGGATACCATGAGAACTGCATAATAATCTCCACGGTTAGTAACGCGATCACGATAGTGGAATATTATAGTATCATTAAGGAATAACGTTCTAGATCCTAATAATACCATAAGTTTTGGTCTCAACTTAAGACAGATTTCACTAATCCAACATTCTCACTTTTCATTAGTAAATTGCTTTGGGTTAAACATTTAGCATGTGAGATGATAATTAGTGATAGCAATACTTAGACTGAAAAGTTATGACACCACCACGTCTACTGTACAAACTATGCTGAAGAGAGTTGATAAACTGCATACAAATATCAATAAAATCTAGTGGGACCTATCCTTACCGGCACCGAACATGAAGAGGAAGGAAGGCTGGTTGAAATCACCAGAAGTCTATAACGATAGTGAACAATAGGGGCTGACAGAAAAGGAAACATTAGAAGATGAAATACCCGTCAACTATTTGGAGTTATTTAGAAGACGAGTCTCGGAAAGTTATGTTAAGTGGAACAATCCCCTAAAAGGATGAAATTTCAGTAGTTTTTCAGGTGAGACGACTGGAGCAACACATAAAATACTTAGTAGATGTGTTCGGGAGGATTGCAGTTGCTTATCTTTTAAACTCAGTCTGCACGGGACATGAATATCAGATTCCTAGCAGAAGTGCCGAAACAGCAGCTGAATCTAACCCCAAAAGTATTTAAGAGCTATAGTGAATCATACAGTAGATTAACTAAGATACTTGTTATTGTGTGGCACAAATCAAGATATTTCCGTCAAACTGATCATCATAGTCTATAAGAAAGAAAACAAATCCTTCTGTCCCCTTGATTAGTTTGAATGAAAATAATGATGTCATTTTATCATGCAAATTTATTCTTTCTTGTTCTTCTTCACACAAGAAGATCAACCTGACTAGTGTGGTATTCAGTATTCTAGGTCCCACGATTGGTATGCATAAACTTCTATTTGTAAGATACGGAGTGAAGTGGTTGGATATATCAAAGGCTTCACGTGTACGTAAAGTTGCTTCGATACTTTGAACTTTTGACCGACGAACTCTCAGTATTGATACAAAAGGCTCTTTTTGCCCTTACCAACTTTCATTGCCTTTGAATTTGCTGTCTCTCAATCGGTCAACAACTCAGTATTTACGCTGCGATAGTAAAATGTGGCATATAGCCACATAGACTTGCTGCCAGTGAATTTTGCAGTTACTAAACTGTGTTGACCTTCAACTGATAAAGTAATCTTCAGTTAGAAAAGATGATAAATATACATCAGGAAATCTTCAATACTGCAGCACCTAGGCGGAGTTTAGAATCAATAAGCCTAGCTGTTTGTTCAAAAATGTCAATAGCTCCTCTGAAGATACCGAAATAGAACAATAGATAGGTGAATGGGTCCCACTTACTTTTCTTCACTATCAGCAGTTTCACTTCTTTTTCTGTCTGAATTTTTGAGGATTTTATAGGCGAGACGTCTTTCTCCACGTCGACGACTAATTACACTACTCAGACACCGATTTGCATTAGATTCTTTGTTTTTGGACATTATGTTTACACGATTTGTTTTCCACTGGTTCACAAGTCTGTCTAGTTCTGCATCAACCTCTGAACCGCTTCTTTTCATTACTGATAAGATACCATCCATATGCGGAAGGTCAGCATCACTCCACAGTGTAACAGCTCTTCCATGGTGACCAGCTCTTCCAGTTCGACCGACACGATGTATATATTCTTGTTCTGATGCAGGGACATCATAGTTGACTACCATACTGACACCCTTGGAATGAGAAAACAATGTAAGTTCATACTATTATCAACTGACCCACGCGAAGTACACAATTTTGACTTCAAGTTCACTTGAATGAATAGACTGTTAACAGTGTATTATTAGTTACAAAATTTTTCCACAGGATATCGAAAGAAATGTTTGTTGTTGAAACTGTTTGGGATAAGATGAGAGTGAAAGACTGAGAACCTAAGCTGAAATCAAAGGCTTACTTTTTGAACCAACGAGCGAAGTCACTTGGAAAATATACTAGTGTTTCTATTTTCAACTTTACGTCACATCAGAAGTCTACTGCTGCATAATTGGAAAGTATACTCATTAACATCTGTGTGAAAACATTTACGAAAATAATGTAGAATTCGTACACTCGGTTGGTACCTTCACTTTCGGAAGTGGAGATTAGTAGATACAGTCATCAACCAGTCATAATGCGGTGAATTGTACAACGTTCTTTTAGTGATTACAAAAGATTTATATTACTTAAGTTATTCTGTGAGAAATGAAAATAATAATGCGGTTCAGCAACCATAAGATGAGAAGAGCAAGTGACAATTAACAAAGAAGACAGTCATATGCTCTAAAGAGAGTATATCTGCATACTTTTAGTTGACTACGCGTTTCTCAAACAACCCTGTTTACAACCCCTTTCAAAAAAGGAGTAGGGTGATAAACAGAAAGGCTTTGTGTGCTTATTGAAGTTTGTGGGTGGCTATCACTCCTCGACTGCCTATACCGGGCGTTTTCTTCTGAAGAACAGAAGAGGCATTAGACCAACGCCGCAGAGACTCTAACGGGCACAGGTATTTTATGCATGGTATATCGAATGACACACTGCATGGGGATTTTACAATACGGCTTATGAGGCCCACTGAGGAGTCTGCTTTTACCTATCTTGAACCAATAATCTGTAAATTTTTGGAAAATACGATATTATCACAGCAAAACTATTTACAAACGAGCATCAATTCAGTTAACAGGGCATATTTTCCTGAACGACAGCTTCGAGATCTTCACATCTACAATTGGTTTGCAGTCATTTTCTAGAAATCTGTGTTTGCATTCAAACTAATCAAAAAGCACAACACTAAAGCGAGCCCCAAACCTTTATCAACCTCATTCAACAGCTGGGCTACATGACAATGCCATGTGTCAAGTGATCAGCAACGGAAGACTCATCGGGTCGTTTGCAGTGAATACATGGATAAGAAGATGCTGCCTTCTTTCACCGATGATATTCCTAATTGTGCTGGTCTGGATTATGCATCAATCTATGCACAGGGAGTGAGTAGACAACAACACGCTGGACCGATAAGAAGACACTTCAAGATTTGGACTTCTCAGATAATTCATGTCTCACAAACTCGAAGACTTACAGGCGAAAACCAACAAACTGGCGGAAGTGGCAGGCAGCGAAGACAGGACTCCAGGTGAACATAGAGAAGACGGAAGTGATAAAGATAACCAAGCCAATCACAGCACCAATCACTATCAACAGAAGTTTGAAAGAGGCTACTTCCCTCATTTATCCAAGCATCATCGTTTTAACTACTGGCAGAATGGATGAAGATGTCAAAGGCGGGATGGGAACGGCAAGGTACGCTTCAAAATCAGTCTGGAAATCTTCTGTACTCCGTAGCATACAGAGCAAGATTCGGATTTTCAACAAAAATGTCAAGTCAGTCGGTTTTTTTATATGATTCAGGAACTTGGAGTGCGAGTCAAGAAAAGTATTTCCAACGGTCTACTGCAGAATTTTATCAAAATCTGCCTTTGATAACTCCATACTGAATATAAAGTGGTTTGCCAGAAAGAACTATCAAGAAGAAACTATGGGAACAGACTAATCAAGAACATATTCCTCAACAAATATGCTGTAGGAAATGGAGATGGATCGGAAACACGCTGAGGAGACCATCAAATGACATCGCACACCTAGCCATAGTTTAAGTAGAACCCGAATGGAAAACGAAGGGTCGGGCCATCCAAGTGACATGGAGGAGATCGGAGACTATGGGCAATCGTGGGGCCGGATAAAAAGGACCGTACAAAACAGGACAAAGTGGAGATGTGCTGTTGGAGCCCTATGGAGCCCCACTCGGAACCCAAGGGAATGACAATAAAGCACAAGGTGAAGCGCAGAAGCTAGTAAAATTTTTGGAAATGACTTAAATACAAACTTAGAAACTGAGCATTAATAGGTGAGCTCAGTCGGTAGAACATCAGACTTTTAATCTGAGGATCGGGGGTTCGCACCCCTCATCGGGTGGCGGGGCCCAAGTGGCCTAGTGGATAGCGCCCCGTGTGTGTCGGTGGCACAGCGTTTAGGACTGTCGCCGACCATGCACATGGTCCGGGGTTCGATCCCCTACCGACGCACACCTGATATCAATTGGTCGGTGTGCGAAATCTGGGCTACCGATATCACATGCTAAAAATTCCATACTTATACCAAAAATACAGTATATAATCAAAAAGGCAAAATATTGTTTATGCACAACCTATATTTTCTATTTCCATTATCAAAGTTTATAATGTTACGTACGTTGATGTATAATCTCGTTAAAGCACAACTTGGGACTTACTTTGAAATCGATTCCACGACCCAATAAATCTGTACAAATGAGAACATGAAGTTTTCCTTCACGAAAAGCACGAACAACTTTGGCACGCTGAAAAATTAAACAAGAGTGTATACTTATTAGTTCAAACTTAGTTACCCAGAACAAATTTTCTACATACCAGAAAGTGAACCACACTTTTTGTGTGAGGGCTGATGAAACTAACTGCCTGCCCAAACTAAAATGTTTAGACATACGGACACCGTCATTTTGGGGTTTCAACCAACAAAGTGCTTTTTTATAGTTCACACTATGAAGTAAGACAAATTTGTTGAGAGATGTATTTAGTTAGTGAAATAATATATCCATGGTGAATTCATGCATTAAAATACGTGAAATTTATCCATTTACCCTGTGATAAAGCGACGTTAAGCGTTAATTACAACTGGATTTTTCATGCACAGTTCCCAATATTCTGCAGAGAAGCTGTACTTTCTATGTTTCCAGGCATATTATATGTACTCGTATAAATTTAGACATCTGCTAGAATGCACGTAGCCATTATTATGATGACAGCTAGTCTTTATAGAAACAAATGCAGATAATCATCTTGAAAAACTGGTTTGAGTTTGTCAGTAAAAGGCTAAAAGAAAGGATAGGACAGATTATCCTTATTAACTATGGAGTAAAAAGCTCTAACAAGTATAGATAAAGCAAAAAATCGAGTACATGGATGAAATTAGGCATATAACACACTGAAAGAGACTTGGGGGTGACTTGTAAATAGCAATAGAAAATAGGACACAAAACGACAATAAGCACATACTTGAGCTGTCGTTTTATCACCAGAAATAACATTTACCAAAATGTTTGCATCAGATAGTAGGATTTCTTTAAGGATTTCATTAGCTCTCTCTCGAGACTGCATAAAAATCAAACATGGATAAGCTAGTCCATTAGCAAGTAGGTAACGCATTTCTAAAAGTTTCCCTTGTTCATTAGCACAGTAGCGCAGCTCTTGTTTGACAGTAGAAACAGCAGCATTTCTATGCAGATTGTCACAAAAAGAAAAAGTTAGCATATTTATTACAAAGATTGAAGGTTGATATAAGAGTAAACTTCAACTAGACTAATAGCGAGGGTATAAGAAACAGAATGCATACAGCCAGTGCTCCTGGAGAAGAGTGCGACAATTGACCATTCGAGTTTTTCCTGAAGATATCAAAGACAGTAGGAAAGTAAAATCATACTTGCTAGATACATTCATTATTTTTCAGAACCACGATGACAATACATACTACATCCACATTTGTCTTACTGACTTTGTTGCCTTCGTTATCAACTATTCAAGATTTAAAAACAGTCTTGATAGTCCTGAATTTCAAATAGTTCAACACTAGAGGGCAATTAACCAAACTTCTAAGTCTTCTGCTTTACAATGATATTTGGGATAAAGATAACATTTTATAGTAATAATTTTGAGCACATCTTTCGACCTGGAGACGGTAAATAACTTTAAAGATCAAGCCTTGAAACTATCCTCATAAGTGAAGCGCCCTCAGCAAGTACGTCAACTTGTGCAGTTATATACAATTTATAAAACGTCTAACTAGAAGTGATAGTAAACTATGATGCTCTCAATATGTTTTCTCGGTGCTATCACAAATAAAACTGTGGAAAGGTAGGCTTAAGAAATCTAAGTGGTAATGCAATGGAATAATGCTTTTCATACCTTTCATTACGACCAAAGTAGGTTTTTCTTTTGCAAGAAAGCAAAACTTTACACTAAAAATGTCCATAGTGTGGGGAGTGTAGGTTCTTTGTCTGAAATTAGGCGTGGCATTCAAGGCTTAATTACAAAACACGTAATGAAGAGTATTATCACACTATATCTAACTTAACACCACAAAAATCTATATTGTCTAGTATATAACTATGATTACGATAAAACGCACTGAAACGCAAAACTACAATAAATACTGCAACTGGTAATGCTTCTCTTACCGGATACCCACTCTTAATTGAACTAATTCTAGGGCGAAATTATCAGTCTGCAGGAGAGCAGGTAGCTGATTTTTTGCCCATAGTACAACCTCATCGGGAATAGTAGCTGAAAACAAAGCGATAGCAGGCCTAGTCAGTAACTGTTCATTGGAATGGCTGGTCTTCGCGGCCTCGAGGATAGCAGCTAACTGATCATGAAATCCACGAGGTCGATATTTCCCTTTGTCCAAATGCTCTGAGTTAAGACGAGAAACATCGCCAAAATTTACTTCCAGCATCTTATCACATTCATCCACCACGAGCCAAAAGAGCCTGAAAATCATACAGGAAAAATGTATATTGAAATATTACTCGTAATTAATTCCTCTACTGATGTACTTAATATATCAAAAACAAGGATACGTACCAAACTTTTGGAGTGCGCAAAAGTTCCTAGTTAGTGCCTAAACTTTTGAGCTAATCGTACAACGTAATCACGTAAAATAATGAGAAACATTTACGGTAAAATCAAACTGATAGCAAACATACCTGGAGAAGTCAAACGGACATTGCTTGGGTGGAAGAGATAACAAAGCAATTAACCGACTTGGCGTTGTAATTAGGATTTTTGTGTTCAAAGGTAATCTTAATTCACGTGACTTCTTCGAATTCTGTAGTACACTTCCAGTCCCAACAGTCTTATCTGAGCTCCTTTTGCACCGATTAGAATAGTGTTTTTGGTTGAGCATTGCCACATAACAGTCTCCTTGGACACCACGACATAACCGAATCGCTTCAGACCAGATTTGATGCATAAGTTCTTGGGTGGGGGCCAAGATAATAGCGAATGGAAATATTTTCTTTTCTAACTGCATATTTCCATCCAGAGTATCCGTAGAATTAACACAGTCGGGAAGTTTTGTTAATAATAATTCATTAAGCACTGGAAGTAGGTAGGCGACTGTTTTCCCTGAACCTGTTGGTGCACAAGCCAGTAGATTACGATGCTAAAAAATAATGGCTAGGGCTTCAGTATATCTTGATGTATTACAAAACATGTGAAAATAAGAAAACAAGTTGAATAAAAGTAGTCAAAGCAACAACACAAGAAGTGCTGTAAAACTTCACGTAAACTTTCAGAAGGGACAGCATTCTTCTACCCAGAAAACCTAGTTTTGACAAAATGGTGACGAGACTGTGATCAGGACACTAACTAGATTATTTAAGAAATTCTGGGAAATTCAGTGCTCCAATGAGGAATAAGACAATCATTAAACCTATCTTTAACAAAGATTTATGTAATGCGTATGATGATAATCACGGTATTAGTTCGATACTAGTTGAATCTAAAATGCTGGCTTCTGTTATGCTCGGTAGGCTTTGTAAAACGCGAAGAGCAGGCATGATTTCGTTCGTGTTGAGAATGTATTGATGACATGTTCACTGCACATCAGTTGTTAGACGTGTTGTGCCACAATAATCATGATATTGTGGTTGGCTTCGATTCTTTAGAATGTTGGATGAAATTGTCTGTTAGAGAGAGGTACCCTAGAGAAGTTTAACTACATCCCGTAATCTCAATACAAAGTATCTGAAGTAGAGTGACGGCATACCATCACACAACATTGTTTATTTCCACTTAATTTAGCCAACAACGGCCTCCTAAAGGCATCTCTAAAGGACTGTGTAATGGTGTAGATCTTAATTATGAGGAGAGTATTGTCTTACTGTGCAGTAACAACAGCTACCCGAATCACATGTAGTCTGTTGGAGACTCCTGTCTAGAATTTTGATGTGTAATTTGATCCAAGAGCAAAGTACTGTTGCGAGATTGGCAGGAACTTGTACTAGTATTCACCCCACAGTTATTTATTAGCTGGGGAATTTACACATCTAGATAGTTGTGAATGCTTGCAGACGTGTAACGCATGAAATTTTGAAACGTGTAGTGAAATTCCGGACTACATACTCGGAACATACTGAGCCACCAAAGACACCTTCGAGACATCAACGGTTGGTTTTACAACTCAGTGAAACTTGAACTCTGCGAGCTGACAATGTGCGGTAACTCTGTGTGGATCATTGTTGTTCCCTAAAAACTACTTGTATCTGATGTCCTCAATGTGTTAGTGATTCTAAGGTTCGACGGTCCATACTTGGATATAATGCGGCGCGTTCCATATCAGGTGATCTTGTTTTAGGAAATCAACTGCAGCGACTCGGACATGTGATACAAATATCAGTCCATAGCTTACAGATTATTCACTGTTTTGTAGTCCTAGGATTGACTGACTGCATTTCAACATAGAACTTAGTAGTTCGAATTCCCTCACCACGTCGCACACAAAAGAGAGAAGGGAAGATTCAAAAAAGAGTTAAAAGAAGCAGAGATGAACGGGAGAAAGACTAGTAGCATGCAGCTGGACGTGGAAAGTTACAAAGACTGAATGCATCTGAACCATATCACTAGTAGTCTCCAACTGTTGGTCCTTAAAATCCCGAAGACTCCAACTAGGTGGCCTACACGTACGTACGTGGACCAAACCAACTGTCGAAAACTTCATGGACTGATTCCAGGTTTTGTTTTGATCACCCCTAACTTCTTCCCAACCTAATCTTATGTCAACTAACATTATGAGAGGAAGAGAGTGATGGTTCATCATGCGTAACATGCATCATAGCCATCTCAATCAATGCAGATTCATAACCTGGTCGACTGACTTGGTCTGCTTTTCATCTAAAAAGCATATTAGGGGCTGCTTACCTAACACTGTCAACCTAACCTCAATATTACTCATCATATTATACCACCTGTCTTAGTCATACAGGACAAAGTTCTAGGATTAGGAATGGTTGTAAAGACGGGTGACCAGATAATTATATGAAATTTCAGGATTTCCACACCGAGAAGACACAGTAGACTGTCCAGGAGAAACACAGGAAAATATATCAGACAAGATTTAGTAGTGAAACCCGACCGAAAGCTGCTACCTTGACGTGGTGGTCAGGCTTGAACACCGCAATGACCCAACAAGCTATAATGGCTGAAACTTATGTCGCTTGGGGTCCTACCATGCCAGAAAGGTTGTTTGGATAGTGGTTAGACTAAAAGCAGCTACCCAATCCAATGCTATGACTCAAACAAAATCACAAAATATCATACCGGATCGGCCGGGGCCCGGATTAACAACGACCAAGCTTCCTGCTGCCGTGTCACAGGGCAGAAGTGATAAATATGCTACTGAGACACACCAAATGAAAAACAACAAACAAAAACAGGCCGTGTGTGACCGGCCTCAAGCAGTTGTCCCCTGGGCTCTGCGGTCACGCAACCGAATTCCACGGTGTGGGCAGCCGAGAAGTACCAATCGCCCTCACAATCCGAAGTGCACGCGAAACCTCTCTAATCCTCACTCACCTTTGTCTTCATCTTCATCTCTATTATCCTGCCTTCCTTCTACTGATGCAACTCCCCTACTTGATGGCTTTTCACTTCCTCTTCACTCTGTGTCCACTAAAAACGACGGAAGCCAAAATACTACTACCGATAGTCTCCTAAAGCCACGTCACCAATTTCATATAGGGGCATTTAATGTTAGGACACTTTGCCAAATAGGACAACAGGTATCACTAGCCAAAACTCTGGCATCCCGGGCCATTGATGTATGTTGTGTTTCAGAAACACGCATACAAGACCCAAGTGTGGTTATTCACCTAACCCCACCTGGTCAACAGGATGAATCTGCAAAATTCACCTTGAGGGTGTCAGAAGATGCCACAGCGAGTTCACGAGGATTAGCTGGTGTAGGGATAGCTTTGAGTACTAGGGCAGAACAGACATTACTTGACTGGATCCCGGTAGATAGCCGAATGTGTGCTGTCCGTCTGAACGGGTCAGTAAAAAGGAGAAAGGACTGCACTACTCGCCGATGCCTTTTCGTAATCTCCGCCTACGCCCCCACTGACTGCAGTTCGGATGAAACGAAGGATGAGTTCTACCAAAAGCTGTCTAGTTTGCTGCGAAAGGCTAAACGCTCAGATATAGTCGTTCTAGCTGGTGACTTTAATGCTCAAGTAGGGAAATTGTGTCAATCTGAGAAGGAGGCACCTATGGAGTTCCGTGCCAGTGAACCGAAAACGGTGACCGTCTCCTACAGTTCTGTTCAGATAATCATTTGTTTCTTGTAAGCACTAACTTCAAACACAAGGAGAGACACTGTTTGACTTGGCGACCCCCATCATCAAACCAACGCTGGACACAAATAGACCACATAGAAATAAGCTATCGTTGGCGTGGGTCGGTAGGAGATTGTCGCTCCTTCTGGAACACGTGTGTAAATACCGATAACGCACTGGTCTGCGCTCGTGTGTGCTTACCACTGAACGGACGTAGGAAACAGCTGACGGTAAACCCATCACGTCCCCAGCTCGATCAGGAAACTAAGTCCCTATTTGAGGAAGAACTAGCTAAACACATATCTGAGTTCGACAGCTGTGCTCACGCTGAAGAAGCCTGGAGGAATATTCAGTCAGCCATAGATACAGCTGTAAAAGCTGTGAATAAGGTAAATCCAAAGGTGAGTAAAAACCATTGGATTTCGACTGCCTCATCCGAACTGATAGATGCTAGAAGACTTATTCCGGCGAGCTCCGAATTCAATGAGGAGCGAAAGCTGCACAAAAGGAAACTTACGAAAAGTCTCCGCAACGACCGTGAACGGTGGTGGTTGACAAAGGAGAAAGAGATGGAAAAAGCATTGGCGACAGGCAACACTAGGCAACTCTTTAGACTCATCAGGGAAACGAGTTGGAGAAGGCAAATTATAAGTGAGACTATTTCTGAGAAAAATGGCTCCTTAATTAGCTGTCAGGATAGACGCCTTGAACGCTGGAAAGAACACTTTGAGAAACAATTTAACTTGCCTACAGCCACACTGAACCTCCCCGCCATCCAGTACACACGCGAATGGGATATAGACACTGGTCCGCCGTCTGTAGGGGAGGTCACAAAAGCTATCTGTAATCTGAAACGAGGCAAAGCGGCAGGACCCGACGGAATTATTCCGGAGGTGTTTAAATATGGGGGTGACATACTAGTAGGTAGATTAGCTACGTTACTAGGTAACGTCTGGGAATCAGAGTCGGTTCCATCAGACTGGGGTAAGTCACTTATTATACCGATATTCAAGAAGGGAGACAAGTCCTCATGTGATAATCATGGGGGTATCAGCCTAACGAACATAGTCTCTAAAATCCTAGGCTCAGTAATCATGCACAGACTAAGCAGAACTCAGGAGGAACAAACGAGGGAAAATCAAGTGGGCTTTAGGCCAGGTAAAGGGTACATAGATCATATCTTCACTCTCCGACAGATCCTAGAACATAGACACTTTTAGGCGTCCAACAATTGCCATATTTCTTGACCTGAAGGCGGCCTTCGACTCCGTGGATCGAGAGATACTATGGCAATGTTTGACTGTGAAGGGAGTGCCAAGAAAGTACATTGCACTAATCAAGGCACTCTACTCAAACTCACGTAGCTGTGTAAGGGCTTATGGGGAATTGTCATCTGAATTGATAACAACCAGTGGTGTCCGTCAAGGATGTCCACTTTCCCCATTTCTGTTTAACTTCATCATAGTTATGCTAATGGAAGTATCCTTAACTGAACTTAACGACTTAGGAATCGACTTGTGACCAGAGAATAGTCTTATGGACTTAGAATATACAGATGACATAGTCCTGTTAGGGGAGGACGCTGACAAAATGCAGAGTCTTCTGAACACCTTGAGCAGCAATCTTTGTATGTTTGGCATGCGATTCGCCCCTGTAAAATGTAAGATGCTGCTATAGGACTGGACTACGTCAACTCCTAGCTCAGTGATAGAACATGTTGACCACTTCACCTATTTGGGAAGTTGTATCAGCATCAACGGACTGATTAGCGACGAAATCTCAGCACGGATCCATAAAGCTCGGGCTGCTTTCGCTAACTTACACCATCTCT